TAAGAGGAGTTACGCTCAGAAGAGTGTTTCTGTCTATAACATAATTATGTGGCAAAAGATCGAGGCAATTGTTACATAAAAAAATGACAATTTGTGCCACTAGATGTGAACTCTTGAGAATAGTAGGACAAACTAGGCTTATTTTCACAATATCGTTGTTTGTTTTTTCTCCACAGAATGCGAAAACACAACTTCGGGGGAAAAGTAAAATGAAATAATTTGAAAACATAATAAAACTAGAAAAAGCAGGATAAATTAAATACATGGTTATTGTCGGGAGGTAAAGTTTTATCCGGTTCGCTACGAAAGTGAATCTTGGCCGCTTTCTCGCTCACCGGATAAGCCTTCTCCATCCCGACATAAACCATGTATTCCCTATTTATTTGTCTATAAGCTATTCAAAATCATTTGTCTATAAGCTATTCAAAATCATTTACATTAGATGATGAAACTTACATCTACGATGTATTACTGATGACGCAAATTAAAAAAGAACTTTTCTTATCAGGAAAAATAAACAATGTAGGTTTATTCCCTAAGATAAAAGTAATACATATCAAGCAGCAGATTTATTATTGGGAAGGCTATCATTTTTTTAAAACGATCAAACACAATTTTCCAAAATAATTTATTGTTATAAAAGAAATAGTTGATATATTTATCTCGTTTATCTCTGTAAACTTACTATATTGGATTTAACAATAAAAGGAGAACTGTGTTCTAGCCTTCGGGAAATAACAGTGGATTGGATTAAGGAACGCTAAGTGACTTTTTACCGTATTGACTGACTTTAATTTGAACAGACTTTATATCATATAATCACATGGCCAAACTTACCATCGCCCTTCGGCCTTAGTAAATTTTCGTTTTGAAAAGTGAAGTCAAAAGAGGTCCACGCCCAAAAAACCGTTACGCATGACTGGCCACTATTATATCGGATACGAGAAAATATACAACTGACCGTTAATCTTATGTTTGACCCCTGATCAGAATGGCTACCTGTAGCAATTTAGAATATGAACCGGTGATGTTAAGCGACAACTCAGAATTATTTAAGGTACCGGTGTTGGCACGTGACGTCAATACAAAAAAACGGGAGAAAGATGATATACAGCTGAAGGCGAGCATGATATATTTAGCAATGACAATATTAAGGATCTTCATCAGCTTGACGAATTGGTTAAAATGTACCAGAATTATCCCTCAGGTATGTTTGTGGAAATCTACTGCTACAGTACAGCTCCAGTTAGAGTGACTTAGATGCAACCAGAACTAAGTTGTTTGAGGCCGTAGAATCAAATGATGACTTTTCGTATGACATTCACTCTGAACTGAAAAGACGTATGTATACGCGTAATAAACCGGTTGCTTTGAAATAAGCAAATGGCATATATGCCATTTTTTTCTGTGTTTGAAGATGAAGACTATTCTGTTCAGTCAAGTGGTGAACATAAATGCCAATGCTAACTCGAGTTAAACGTACTAAAAGATACCGTTTCAGCGTTACAAGCCGATGTTTTATCCTTCAAGCAAGCATCCGTTGCAAATGAAAAAATTCGCACAGAACAAATTAAAATTATTAGTAACACTGTGTAGAGTATCAAACAGGTCATGCTTCAATTCATGGGTCTATGACTTAAATACGCCAATAGTGAATCCCGAGTATGATAATCAATGGCGAGATTCCGTTAACAGTTACGTGTCAAATGTTATCAACACTAGTGTTCCGGATACGAATGCAACTGTGTCTGTTACACCGATCGCTGAACTTAAAAAAATCCTGCCCCAAAAGAAAAGCATGTGTTCCAGACAAAATAACCTACAAACATCTCATAATAGCCAATTAGATAATTTCGCCCCTACTCCAAAACTAATTTACGGGTATGTTAAAAGTTTGTTATATCCCAAAAACAAGTCAGTGGAAAAATGTCGTTAAAGGATGTGTGGCGATGCCTGCTAAATATGAATGACTTAACGCTCTTTTGGAACTTCGACCATCAGCTCCAGAGTTCCTTCCGAATAACAACAATCCATGTGCACTTTTCTCACGTGAAATATATTCAAAAGGTGTGCGGCTATGGATAATCATGTTCCTTGTATCGGTCGTCGGGCACTTGTTCTCTAGACGATACATTCAGAGTTGTTCTCTGTGCAACGCCATGTGCTTTAATATCGTGGACCATGTTCTAAACTTTTGTAGTAAAATGACAGATATCTGGCAATCACTTTGGCCCTACATGTTTGAAACTATGTGGGGATAAATGCGTATGCAGAATGGATAATGTGTGCTCGAGAAAAACAGACTGATAAGCTTATAGCGTTGGCGTTTAATCAAGCGACTTGCTGTCAGTACACACTCTTGAAAATACTAGTTTAATTTGGCTGACCTGATAGCATAAAATGTGCTTAGCATAGACCAAGTTCTTAAAGCAATTTCGGTTTTGGCTTTAAGATACTGAATCTCCATAAGACATAATGTTGTATTTTAAAGGAAATTATACACGAATCTATATGCAAAAATCGTTAACAGTTATTTAAAGTCAAAAGTAGCAGTAATAGTAATATTTCTATACTAGCATTATTTTATATTAGTCAATTCTCTTGAATGATATCATAATGACTCTTATATGACAATGTTAATATCGCTGTAGTGTACTTTTTACTTTGCTCGTATACTAAGAACTTGCTTCTCCATGTTAAGAAAAATGAAAGCATAGTCTAAGCATGTTTAATTTTGATAATAAATGAATGTTAAATATCCAACCCAAAGCTATATTACCATTTAAGATTTATTGTTAAATACATTTGTTAAATAATTTTTTCTTATTTTATGCTTAAAGTTCAACTGCGAGTTTTACGCATTCTTTTATGGAAAGAAGCTTTATGTAATTCAAACACCTGATGGCTTATGCTCAAAATATTATATATGCGTGAATTTTACTAGAACAGCCGTTGGGACTATTATAAGGAATCCTGAACGTGGTTTATGTACGCTGTATATTATGTCAAATTCTGTTCTGCATGTTTATGTGTTGTACTCTTCAAATTTGGAGAAATAAAAAAATCTATCTATAACATGTATAACTTATTGTTCCTTGTTTTCTTTTCTTTTTTATTCAATTTGTTTATGTTGTTGAAAACTAAATGCTTCGGATCAGACAAATTATGAACTATATATTAACTCGAGATGGAGGTCGTTTTCGACATAATGAACAGAACAGAACAGAACAGAAATTTTATTCAAGATTTGTACATGGTACATCATCTTACAATTTGTACAATTTAAATATACTATACAATAGTCACATGACACTTAATGTATATAAATATAGCTATAGATCTTAACATACATACTGTTAACAATGAAAATATAGATAAAGAATACAACATGAAATATTCTATTTACTTCCTACATAGAGGATTAACCATTCATTATTACATATTATAAGACATGGATGTTCTATTAGCCATAGCATCTCTGATATAGTAAGCCAAGTTACACAATATTTTCTTATTTTTACAATTTAACAATTCAATAAATTTGAACATACTTGGTCTAACATAGTAGTATCTCTTAATATATTTTTTACGAATTTCAAGAAAACAGGTACATACTAATATAAAATGGTATTCATCTTCAATATCACGAAGATTACAATATATACAATATCGTTCATTTCTAGGAATTCTGTTTACACCATAACGTCCGGTTTGTATCAGTAATGCATGTGAAGACATACGTATTCTACTTATATAAGTTCTAAAATTTCCTGGTATAAGATCTAAATAATGTTCGTAACCAAACCCACTCTTCAAATTATTATACAAATTCAAAACTGGGCTACCATTAATGTCAGAATGCCAGTTTTGTAAAAAGTTATCTATTACACGTTGCTTAAATTCGCAGATAAAAGATTTATGACAAACACAACCTTGATTCTCCCATACATCCATAAAACCATAAGTGTACAACATATCTTTGACATTAGATAACCAATTACGTTTACCACTTGTACAATCATTATAAGACATATGATATATTTCTTTCAAAATAATATTATCAGTTTGTAGCAGCTTTAACCAATATTTTACAATTTTTACATATCTTGTTACAAATAATGGATAACGTCCGAGTTCTCCGTAAACAGCTGCATTACATGTATTTAACCTAACATTTAATATCCTTTTACAAAATCTGAGATGTACTCTTTCTATTTCCTTTGACTTACTGTTACCCCATATTTCAGATGCATAACAAAGAATAGAACCTACAAAAGAATGACTGATATGGATTTAATGTTCACGTGACTGTTAATTATCATTTATTATTACACATGTCATTGCCTCATGTTTTTGTATCGTAAATGTGCAAACTGGGATATATATTCAATGAAACTTGAAACTTGACTTATGAATTGAGATATTGACGCGTTAATGGAGAGACTCAAGTTTCAACATAATAAATTTTTAATGATTGGTGTAAATGCATATAACCGTACCGTAACTTACTATACACCTGGAAATAAGTTAAGCACACCCCGGAAATTTAAAATTGGTTGTGATTATGAGACGACGATTTAATTTAGTTTTGATAAGTTGCCAATTTAGTAATCATAAACCAGTAAATTTATAAGTTTTGATTATTCTTAACCAAATTATTGAAGCATAAGCAAATGTGTTGTTTTTTTAACTAAAATGTAAGAGTTTATAACTGAAGATGTGTTTATAAGCGATTTCAAAACATTATAGTGGATATTTTTTGGTAAATATTGACGATTACGTAACCTAAAATGACACTATGCAATAACGTGTATAACCGTCACGTGCCCGGATGATAGCCTCAACCCTTATCCTCATACTTAAAGAAAGGCGTCTAATGCGATATTGAGGTAAATTTTGCCATTCTTGGTGCAGAGCTTGTTCCAGTTGTTGTAGGTTGACTAGAGGTGGTTTGTACCATTGTCAAATAAAATTCAAAATTTCAGTTGTTGTCATGTCAACATTGAGGCAAAATGGCGGGTGTGCTTTACTTCTTTCCAGGTGTATATTACAAGGTGTAGAGAGTCGAAATGTAATGCTCGTTTATTTTATTATTTCGACGGTAAATGCGAATGGGTAATTCACATGTTTGAAATATAAAAGGCTTAGCAAATGCACATTAAGTTGCTGTATTTTATAGGATAACTAGGGTATGGGATGCACAAACAGCATAGCATGTAAGTTATAATATTTCTATTTACATTGTATACGAGTATTTAACAGGTAATCTGTGTCTATTAGTCAATGTTTAAGTTATCTGGACATCAATGCTTTTCTTAACTGATGTCGTTATTTTGTGTGTAAGTGCTTTTTGATGTTTTTTCTTTGCTTTTAATCGCTGGTTGCGCTCATTTTGCACGTTAAAGGGTATTAATTGTAGGGAAAAGTCCATTAATTGTTTTACGAAATGGCTGAAGTTCTGTTTTACACTGAACTATATGCAATCATAATATCATTTGCTAGTCCGCAAAAGATTAAAAGATGACCAACTCTATATTAAATAAAATCCTCTTCGAATGATACTCTTGTTAAATCAAAAACTTAATGCATTTCAATTTGGTACCCATCAAATTAGTTAAACAAAAATGTTTCAGTTTGATTTTGATTTAGTCTGCTAATGATTGCTTTCGTCTAGTGCACCGCTTAGCAGCGGTTTAAGGATGAGCTTTCAACATTCATAGATGGCAATGGTGAAATTAGGAATCATCCGCAACGATAATTCAATATTCATATAAAATTATGATAATGGCGAAGCTAAGAATCATGTGCACCCAACATAACAGAAATAATACAGTCTTACGAAAGTGGTAAGAAGGTATATAGATGGCATTATTTCCTGATATTTTTTGATAAAGCGTATGAATAACATTTTGGCTATGTAGAAGCAAAGCACAGCCACTGTTGCAAAAGGAGAAATGGGCAGATTTAATGATAAAACGAGAAAAGTAAAAAAACAGGGCTCAAATAAAGATATTATCGAGTTTCCAATAATTCATCAATGTAGACAGTTATAGTTTAATAAAACACATTGATGTGATGTTGCTGAATGATATACATGTACATGGTATGATTTTCACAAATATTTTAATGAAGTAGTTGAAAACGAAACGTGATTTGTGACAATATTGTTTTGCTTGATTTGAGTACGATAATAAAAAGATTTGATCACTTTTGTTACTCTTTTGACTAAAATAATTTACTGGTTTCACATTAAGAACATAAGAATCTTTAATAGACTACAATGTACTTCCTTTGAGTGCGGCAAACTTTATTTGCACCGATGCCCCAAAAAAGGATAGATTGAAAATACATTTTTATAAATTCAGCTTCCAGTTTCACTCCAGCGACTTAGTTGATGGTGCAATTATTAAACAAGATGACCTTTTCACATACATTGTCCAATCGTTTTAAAGCAGCATGCCTGCAGATTTATGCACATTTTCACGAAATTTTCTTGAAAGATTTAGAAAGTAAAATATTGTAAAATGAGTGTCGCGAATGATCGCGATTATCTCCTTTTGTCATTATTTGAAGGGGGATTAGGATTATAAATGTATTGATGAAGAGTTATTGGGTTTTCATTTTATAGCGGTTACATTGATAAAGGATTTGTATTTAAAATCAATGATGTATAACATTTATAATTATCTAGATACTGCTAGAAATGATTGATGTATTTGTTCTGCTGTATTCTATAGTAGTTTAGAATGTAACTCAACTCAACTCAACTCAAATATTTTATTTAAGTCTCATCTATGTGCATCTTTACATATATTTAAGATATAAAACACAACATTTTTACACAACACAAAGCCACTCCTACATAAGGAGTTATAAGAGACTGTAAAACTATTAAAATAATCTCTAAAATAATTTCTAAAATATCTACTTTTTAAGAATAAAAAGTCAATATTTAGACACAATCTAACATGAATTATATATATATAGGTCAAGTTTGTGCCTGTCTGTCTATTAATTATATTACTATGACAATAATTGTTGTTTGAGCTAACCCTGTGTATTAATACTTTTTAATTCATAAAATCGTTTAGCTAATACCCTTAAAAGTTAAATATAAAATTCATGATAATAAATTTCCTTTATTGCAATACTTTGAAGGAGTCTGTACACCTGGAAATTCCAGGCTGCTTTTTAAATTGGCAAGATCAATATTATACCACATAGGCATTAAAACCATACAGTTTCATTCCTGTTTTCTATATCAATAGCAATATTCCTATTTTAACCTATTAATAAAAAATATCTTGATAAAAGAACTTTAAAAGCACCATACTCAAACTTGTTTTACTTATATACATGTATTTACAACAATTTGTATTGTTAAAACATAAAAAAACCATATAAAATTCAGTAAAAATACAACTAATGACTAGATTAGTTAAAGTAAAAAAATTATCTCCTATACAGCCTTAAACGTCTAAGTTGCAGTATTTGGTAGCAGGCTTTGGCAGAATATTTAACAATTTCAAAGTTGTTTAGTACATAACATAACTTATCCATGTCAGACAGAGTATCAAATACAGTATTAATTTGACGTATTTTTACCAACAAATCTTCTCTGATATCATTATATACTGGGCAGTGTAAAATTACATGAATCTCATCCTCAACATTTGTGGTACAATTGAAACATGTTCTATCATTTACATGTAAATTCTCATAACGGCCTGTCTCTAACCGGATAGGCGCAACACCACAACGAAATTTTGTCAAAGAACTTCTATGATGGAAGGGTAAATTGTACTTTAGGTATTTTTCAACAACCGGAGTACCTCTAAACAAACTATATGTTCTAAGTTTATTACCACCAGTATTTCTATTGGTATCATTCCTATTTAGTGACTGTTTCCACTTATCTAATTCAACTGACCGTAACTTGTTCTCGACCATTTCAACTATTCTCTTAGCACTAAAAACATGTACATCATTAATATTTATCTCAATACTTCTAAACATCTTACATATTCTAAAATACTGGTTCTTACATCTGGAAGAAGCACTCCGTCTTGTCCAATCAAAGATTTTTTGGTTAATTCTACCACTATCCATTTTTGACATTCTGCAGAAGTGCCTGACTACAGAACCCCACTGTTTAACTGATGATGGTTTCCAGCCCATTCCCCAATAACCGCTGCATTAGGTGTATATTTCCCAACTCCTAAAAAATATCTCATTGCTCGATTTTGGATGTACTAGTAATTTCATCTAGAATAATCTTTGATGGTATATATTGTTAGTATTTGTCAATGTTCGTTCAGTTCATTGATTCATTCTAAAAGGTATAAGTATTCTGAAAAGTATTATAAAAAAGTATTCTTAAAAGTGTGTTAAAAGTTGATGATTGTAAAGTTTAAAGTTATTAAAGGTGAACGAGGATTAAAAATAAAAGTTAAACAATTAAGACAAATGGATTGTTGTTTTTATTAAAAGGATTTATAAAAGATTGTGTGAAAAGGATTATATTCCAGTGTGATGATTTAGAACCAGGATTTATAAAATATACAATTATTGCTCTCCCACAAACTAAAGGACGCCTATAAAAGATCATCAGAAAGTAATTTACACATTATATCGTCGGAAAAATAAAAAAAAAGTCAAAATCTATTATGTACTTAACTGCCGATTTCTTTATACGCGTTTTCATTTTATGTTAATATGTTGCTTACTTTTAAATATATTGTCCTCATGGTTCTATGACGTTTTGGAATTTACTTAAAAAAAATCTAAAATCTAAAAATCTATATACTACTCAACATTTCCCAAGCACCATGTGTTTAAGTGTAAATATGTTTTGGGGAAATTTTATTAACGCCGTGCGAAAGATTTACAATATTGTTTCACTGTTTTATCAATTCAGTTGAAGGATGAATTTAACTCTAGAAATTTTACACTGATGTTGTGCTAGAGAAGAGGATGATTCACCTGAAGATTTCAGAACATGCTGCGTGTTTTCAAAATTTCTAAAATTGTTGTTGTTGTTTTTTGTTGTTGTTTTTTTTCTTGCAATGTTAGACTTAATACCGTGTGGGTGAGCCGTGGAGTCCTATCAATGACAGCTTTGCAGCGCCTTCCCATACTCCCTATTAGGTTTCTGATCGTTCTAACGGGTATGGCTGCCCATTCTTAGACCAACAAGACTCCAAGCTCCTGGGTGGTACTTGGTTGCAGTTGACGAACGGAAATTCTAACCTGCAGCTCATTCCACATGTGTTTTATTCGATTTAAGTGGTGAGCGAGCTGACCAGTCCATGCTCTCAATAGACTCCCTCTCAAGTCCAGTAACACCCTCGCCCTATGGGGGCGAGCATTATCTTCCATTATAAACAACTGATCGTCGCTATCTCCAGCATAAAACCTAATCTGGTTGTCTAACATATTGTCTATGTACCACTGATTATCAACGGCCCCTATTTAGCACAACCAGGTCGTTTCATCCTTCCCAGCTGATGCCTCCCCACACCATAACTGAACCACTTCCGTAGCTCAGCAATATTTTCAGCCTGAAACCGTTCACCTCCAGACTCTAGCACGCATATCTGTGAAGTCCAGGCAGAACCTAGACTAATCAGTAAACAGAACGTGTTTCCAGTGTTGCATGTCCACTGTGTATGCTCCATATGGTTCATTCCAATCGGGCCTAGCGATGTCGATACGTCAAGGGGATACGCAAGGTCTTCTCGACCGCAAATTACGTTCATGCAGCCTCCTACGTACCGTCTGCGTGGAAACACGATCCCACGCAGCATTTGTAAGGTCATTTCGAAGAGAAGTTGCTGCACGACATGCCTTAACGACCAATAACCGATTCTGAGCTGGTGTTGTGACCCTTTGCCGGCCTCCATTCTGCATGGTTTCCATGCTACCTAAACAAGTTGTAACAGATTCATGTCAGGGGACTATCTCAAAACATTGCTGAATCAAAATTTTCAAATATTTGAAAGAAATATGTTTTATACTTGTGATAGTATAATAATTTGAGTAGTATATATAGCTCAAATGAAGTCACGTAAAAATGTTATAACACTAGTGTTATATTGCTTTTATTAAATCGCTTTATTACACTCCTGCATAAATGTTTTACGTGACACTACTATGGAAAGAGTGTAGCAAATCAGCGTTTAGAATCCTGGTAGGGATAACTTCGTAGACAAGGATG